ATGTAGTTTGTTAGATGTTCCCTGATCTCCATCAGCTGAATGGACTGGACAGAAAGCTACATCATGGAGCAGCGTTACATCCTCAATTATAATCAGCGCTTCATTTTTCTGTTCAGATATCGATCAGTAACTGTGTTTCTCCTCTTCAGGATTGAGCTGCGCTCCTTGGGTAAGATAGCAGAAGGAGAGGAGCTCACTGTCTCCTACGTGGACTACTTGAATTTGTCAGAGGAGAGACAGAGGCTCCTGAAAACACAGTACTACTTCGACTGCGCGTGTGAAAACTGCAAGAACAAAACCCACGATGATGTGAAGATGGGGGGAAAGGAGGTGGACGGAGTCAAGGTTTGTGTCTGATTTTACTGCCAGGTGGCAGAAAGGGCCAAATGCTTGTGCCACATTTAGAAGCGACAGTGGTGATAAGAACAGAATGACATGCGAGAAGAAGAACTACAGACTATTTTAGGGAAAGATAATTCTCAAGTGGATTTGACCTTTGATGTATTAACATATGGGTTTTGAGAAGCATTTTGCAGAGGACAAACAAAGTGGAGACAAATTATTAATTTTAGGCATACTTTTCTAAAAACTAAGTTACACTTTACAGTTTTAATACAAAGAATAAATAGCTTATTTTACACCCTTTACGTTTAACTTGTAATACATAGCGTGTTTAAATGTATGACAGCCCACATACCTGTAGAATACAGAAGCCGCTTAATATTAAGTTAAAATGAAAGTTCAGGTCTTTTTTTTAACAAGTTATGAACAATTAATATTTTACCTGTTGAAGATAGGTTTTTGAACAGCCTCAGTTTGGAGGAACAAAGTTTTTTTCTGACTTGGTTGATGACCTAATAGTCAAATCAAGTCAAGGATCTTTATTGTCATTCACATCGCATGTGGTACATGAGGTTGAACGAAACTGTGTACACAGTTACATCCAACAATATCAAAAATATAAAGTGTAAAAAGAAACAGTAAATAAGGATCCAATATATAGGCTAAACGAATGCCCAACGGTACGCTAAAAGATCTAAGATATATGCAAGTCACTAATAGTGCAAAACAATACACAGAACAACAGTAGTACTATTCTCATAGGTTCTGTTTGGCTATACCAATGATGCAACAAAAATACAGAAACAAGGCACCAAAAGTGAAAAATAAATCAATCTACAGCAGCATGGTCTTACTGGCAGAGTGGTTCTGATGACAGTGAGGTTCCTCTTAGCAACACGGTCGCATTGGCACTATGGTACTGTTAGCAGCGTAGTGTTGTTAGCAGCGTTTGCAGGTCTTGTTAGCAAGTCCCGTCAGCTGTATGACGATAACAAGGACTGCAGCAGCTACCCTTCCAGACTGCCCTCCAGAACCGGGTCTGGCAGACAGAGAAAATCCAAGGTTTCCCCGCATAACCAAGCAGGTCTGCAGAGTTCGGTCCGTGCAGGCAGATAGAGGATCTTGTTAGCATCATTAGCAGGTCCTGTCAGCAGCTTGATGGTAATAATGACCACAGTAGCTGCCCTCCCAGACTGCCCTCCAGAATCAGGTCTGGCAGACGGAGAACATCCAAGGTTTCCCTACAGAACTGAACGGGTCCATAGAGTTTGGTCCGTGCAGGCAGATGGAGGATCATGGAGACAGCCGCCATGACAGGCCTGAGCCCAAGGCTGGAAAGACTGAACCACGATGGCAGGATGGCACGACGGCACGATGGCAAGGCATCAACACAGAAAACTCCACAAGTGTGTCGCAGTCATACCCGTACCATGGATGTGCAGTGTAGGCGCAAAATGCGTTAAAACAAAAGCAAGAAGAACATAAAAAGATCATGTCGAAGTGGAAAACTTCCACCGGGAGGCTGTGAAGCTGCCGCTCGGCTGAGTGCAGCCATCTTGAAGCTAATAATATCTGGGTGGAGTCAAGACCAAAGTGAATTGCTGCCATCTTAAAACATCAGTTTCAAAAATTTCATTGCAGTTTATGCAAATGGTATTTTGATAATGTTTACACTGCTCTATGTGGTCCTGTGAAGGGCTTGTGACCTGTCCAGGATGTACTCCAACTCTCACATGCTGACCACTGGAGACAGGCTCCAGTTCTCCCTCAACACAGAAAAATAAAACTAATAAAATATTTGGACGGATGGTTATTTTGACAGAAACATTATTACATTTATGCAGGACGTAGCCCAGGCTGCAGGAGAAAAGCTATTGCTAACTGCTGCTCCCACATACACATTGTTGAAATCAGGTCTCTCTTGTAAATGAGTCCTCGAGGCTCAATGGGATTTACCTGTATAAATAAAGGTTGATTGATATACTCATCAGATTCCATGTAAATCACAAATTGGTTGTAAATAAAAATGTAAATTGCGGGTTATTAAAGATGATTAAAAATAACTTTTGCATGAACCACTGACAATGTTGAAATGAGTTGTTTCAAGAAGACAGCTGCAATTCCCTCTGCTCCTGCCCCTTGATGGAAGTAAACATCAGTTCTGTGAGAATTAATTATTTCTCCAGACTAAGGTTGTTCAAAGACCTGTCTAAAACTGTTAATTTTGCTTATAATGTTTCCCAAAAATTTCACTTCAAAAGATCTAAATTATCACTTGAAGTTGTTCAATTAACAAACAAAAATGTCTTTTTGCTCCATTTTTTTTGTGAAACACTGAGTACTGACCGGAGAACATGCCAGAATCGAGCGTCTGCTTAGGTCAGTTATTGCAAAATGTTTGCCAGAAGAAAATTCTTTGTTCTGCTTAAAGTCCTGGACAAGGTTGTTCTACAAGGACAAAAGTCTTTTCTGGATAAATTATCAGGTTCCAGCTTTTATGTTTTGAGGCAAGGCCCACTTGTTTAAGTAAAGAATACACACACACACATTCTCAAAAGTCAAATTAAGATATTTTATTAAGCTCGTTTTTGTTGTTGACAGCTGATTTATGCAACATTTAAATTATCCCTCTACTCTTACAGCCGTCAGACGAACAGGTGAAAGAGGCAACAGATTACTGCTTTCAAATGATGGATAAGATGGACAAGGCTCGATTAAACGGAGACTACCACGAGGTGTTGTAAAATAAAAAATAACATCTGACACACCTAATGACTTCAACTTATCAATATTTCAAAATAAGATTTTTTTCTTTTTATTGCTCTTCAGGTGGTGAAAATCTGCAGGGACTGCATTGAGAAGACCGAGCCGGTTCTGGCCGACACTCACATCTACCTGCTAAGGATGTGGAGCACGATGAGCGAGGTCCAGTCCTACCTGCAGAACTTTGAGGAAGCCGCAGAATACGCCCGCAAAATGGTGGATGGATACACGTGAGTGCAAACACGCAGCTTTTAGAAGATGTCTTGTTTCCCTAAATAATATTTTTCTTGTTTGTCCATGCTTTGCACCTCAGGGCTTTTATGAACTGGTTACGTTGACAAACATCAAGTTTTAGTGTGAAAATGTTAATAAAAAGTCCAAATCTTGCATTTCTGGCAGGAAATTGTATCACCCTCACAACGCAGCTCTCGGTATGGCAGCCATGCGAACAGGAGTAACACACTGGCAGGCTGGACTAATAGAAGTTGGACATGGGATGATCTGTAAGGCTTACGCCATCCTCATGGTCACCCATGGTCCAACACATCCCATCACCAAGGACCTTGAGGTAAACAACCAAATTACTCAAGTGTGTATACAAAATACAAAACTTTTCTGTATTACCAGAATAGTTCCGTTTATTTCTGTGTATTTGTATTACCAGCAAGTGGGAAGGTTCCACTTCATCTTACTGGTTTTAATATCAAATTTATTTTTATCTAACATTTGGAGCAGTGACACCATCCTGATTTTATTCACAGGCGATGCGCCTACAGACAGAGATGGAGCTGAGGATGTTCAAGCAGAATGAGTACGTTTACTACAGCATGAGAGAGGCAGCTCTGAAAAACAAGCCAATGACCATGCTGCACGAACCCAGATCTGTGGAGGAGGGAATCAAGAATCTTTTCCACCGGAAGAAGTAGCTTTAATGTGGACTGTAACAGAAATCTGCTTAGATTTTAACTGTTGTACATCCGTCACATGACCAATGCTTCTCACATTTTTGTAGCTTCATGAAAATCTGACTTGTGGCTGAAATAGATGTAGACAATGCCTTTATACTTCATTTGCTGAAAGGCAAAATGCCAAGCTAAACTAGGATGACAGTTTGAGCACAATATTTGCAGTTTTAAAAGTTTCAACGCATTTCTAGAGATTCAATAGTCATGTTCAAATTTTCCTGCACTATAAAGATCTATACCAACTTTACTGCTTCTGGAGTTTACTCCTTAAGGGATGTAGAGTCAAGCGTTTCACTGACCAAGGTTAAGAGTTTGCCAAAGTGTTCTCATTGCCCCCACCCCTGGCCTATTAAACCATGTATACAAAAACATAAACCATGCACGTAACAGGCGAAGAGTTGAAATGGCAAGACTAACAGGATTCCCATGAAATGTTTACGCAATAACAGGAGTCTGCAACCATGAATCAAGAACCTCTGATGAGTCTCCAGAGCCAGAAGTGGCCCGTGAGCCGCTAGGTCTGCTGGAGCAGACTAGCCAGAAGTAGTGGGGGAAGCCAGCGTTCATGCTTAAGCGTCTCATTTGTAGAACCAAGAAAATACAGTTTTGTTAAACCTTGAACGAGCCACAGGTTGCAGAACCATGGTTTAGAGGCCAAAGTGTTTTTACCTTAGTTAAGGAAAACTAAGTTCAGGCACTGCAGCCAGCCATTTAAACTTCAGAATCCCATTTTAAGACCTTTCCCAGTTTTGTTTTTGTTATTCCAGAACTCAAAACCCGAGTCCTGAAAAGTGGCAGTATTAATTTCTTTGAATATGGCTTTCCCCTCACTCAGGCAGGGAAGTCAGCAAACGGTTGTAAAAGGTCAACTGGTGCTGGGTCACTGCATCGTTCTCAGAGAGTTTCATTAAGAATTATTCACACAGGTTCTGCTGTCTTTACATTTTTTATTTTTATCGATTTGCCCTTGGTATATAAACGGTTACATGCGTTTGCTTATCCTCTTGTATACAACACCACCAACGGTCATCGTCTGTCAAGAAAAGAAAACCATTAGAATAGCAACTTGAAATACCACAAAAAATAAAAAATAAAAAAGACAAACCTACATTTACAATCGTGTTCTGATCCAGCATTTCTGTGACAGACTCAATTCCCTTCAAAGAAACCTTCAGCTTGCCTCCGTCTAGTAGAACCACCCCCTATGGAGAAACAATGTTTAAAAACTACATACACCATATAATTGAACTATAGTTTAAAGGCTTGCACTCACCTTGACCTTCTCTCCAGTCATGGTCTCCAGCTCAGTCTCCTG